GAATGGCATTTGACTTCAATTCCCAGAAACCAGATGTAGCTACATGTATGTCGTTGATTCCCAGACACCAGATGGCGTAGTTTGGCTAGTGCCAATGAAAATACGCAAGCGTACTTGTAGTGCATACAGGCCGCGGCCTGGCCATTGCCGGCGACAGCAGTTTGCCAACATTGCCCGGGTTGTAGCCTGCGTTTGCAGCAAGGTTTGCAGCTGGTTTGCAGCAGCAAAAAACGCTGGCGTACCGTGGCCGTAGCAACTACACTTGGTGATGGACAGCGTCTGCAACGTCTGCAAGGACCCCATCTCGGTCCAACGCTTCGTCATAGAGATTTCACTCGTCGTCACGCCCATGCTTACCCTATCCCTATGTTCCATTCCCGTTATGTGCAGACTGGAAAGCTTGGACATTATTGTCGCATTAGTTGGGTGCAGCCAATCAATGCTGAGTGCGTTGTCGAGTGCATGGACCTCGACGACCTTCGCACCCACCTCGCGACCCATCATGCGACGCAGTTTACGTGGCGCGATGAGGCTAGGATTGTTCAAAGCATCGTCTTTGAGCTCGTCTACCTTTATACGCTCGACCAAGCAGTTGTCCACGGTGACCTCCAGGCCAAGAATGTCCTTTGAGAGGCCAAGGGCACAGAGCTAACGAACCGTTGCATCGCGCACGTTCGAACTGTCGACTATAGAGCATGTCGCATTGGCATCGTGTACGGCACCCGAAGCACTTACTCGCAGTGCGTCCTCAGATGTCTACTCGATTGGTGTATCTTGTCTGTTGTGGGCAGGCACGCAACACCATAGGTACTATGCTCATCGAGCTCAGCATGCACGCACCGCCCGGCCATGATGTGATGCAGCAGCAGAATTTCGTGCACGTCGGCGACGCCACGTCGGTGCTAGAGACGCCTACAATCATGCAAGAGTGGATCACGCGCTGTGCGGCCGCCAATTTTATCAAAAGACCAACAGTACTCAAGTTTACATCCTTTGAGCCAAATGACATTGGCTGCACTCAAGTATCT